CTTTGAAAAGGTAATAGTTGTGTTTCGGGATAAAATAAAAATTGATGAGATGTCAAATTGGATTGATGTATCAATTTTTATTTATTAAAGGGACAGTCATGGCCATACGAATTTGAGGATGGCGTATCTGAACTCACACAATGAATAAGTTCACATCTATACATTTACATGAAAGAGGTATAGATACACACCTATGCATACACAGATAGAAGTGAAATTCAATTATATTTACATATATACATTCATTCACACAGAGAGAGAGAGAGAGTACAAAAATCATTGTGCAAAGAACATTGATGTCAACAACCATGGCCTCCAGTTTATTTTGATGAACTGTGTAGGAGGGAGAAGAGAGAGTGAGCAAGGGATAATTTAAAAAAAAAAATTAAGCACAACATATCAATAAGAATGCAACCATCATTTTATAGTTGATGATTTACATAATACAGTGTTAAATCTATTCGATAAGTATAAAATACTTGGATATTAGAGTGGAATAAATGTATAAAAGTCGGGTGGATACTGGATAGTACTACAGTTTGATAAAATATAAGGTGGATGAAAATATGGGCTCCTCGTAGTCGTAGTTATCATAAAAACGAAAATAATATAGCGAAAAAGCGATGTCTTAAATCTTCAGAAGAAACTAAGAAAGTACCTTCCTTTTGGGGACAGCCATAAGCTCCATTGAGCCACCAAAAAATGACCAGTTCGGGAATACATCTTCGATCCAATTGCTGTGTTTGTGTTCGAGCAAACCCAATGGCGGTAATCTGGCGATCAAATAGTTGATGGCGGTACAAAGCGGCAGTTGTTATGCTATTGCATGCGCCCATCGCCGAAGACTTCCTAGAGTACACCTTGTGCTCGAGGAGGCGCATTTGAGCATCGCCACCCTTAACGTCCTTTTGGTTTCTGCTACGCTACAGCTGAACTCTGTTCTGTGTACAATGTGAGAAATTTCTCAGCTATGGAGTTGTGGAGAAGACAAATTAAATGGGCTTGAGATCCAAATCTAACATAGAGGAAATTACATAATACCGGGTGTTTAAAGATCACAATTCAAAAATCAGGGACCAAGTTTCATTATTCAAAAATTAGGTATCTATAAATTAAACATTATCCAACCAATTCAATTACAAACCCTAATAATTTCAATTCTTCTCTTACTCTCTTATCTCAGTTTCTCTCTCACCTCTCTCATGATGGCGACGGCGCCGGCGCGAGGAAGGCCAAGCCCTAGATCTATTTCCCCTTTCTTTTTCATCATTTCCCCATCTCTCCATCGTTTCTCTTCTCCGCCATCTCGCTTCAGCTGGAAGTAGTGGCTCTAAGCGTCCCTCATCTTAGCTGCGACACTCAGTTCATGGCTACAGTGGCAAACCGACAACGATTTTATATTATTTTGTGATGGTTTGTGGCGATTAGTGGTGGCTTTGTAGTAGATTTTGAGGTGATTTTGTGGTGTTGCTGTCGGTGTTTTACGGTAGTTTTGCTTTGGTGTGGTGTGGTGGCAATTTTGTACGGTCCGGTGATGGCGGTGATGTTGCTATCAAGAGGTTGTGGTGGTGCTAGAGGCAGTGGTGATGATGGTGTTTTTGTTACAGATTGTAAGGCGATTTAGGTTGGTGGTACAGGTGGAGGACTTGATTATTTGTTGGTGGGATAATGGCTGTGGTGTAGACCGTGTGGTAGTTTTGGGAGAGGGGGTGGATTTTGGCAGGCGACAATGGTGCAGTGGTGGTGTCGTGGAAGGTGTTGTGGGTGCGTTCGTGGTGCTGTGACCAACAAATTTAAAAATCTGTGACCGGTTCATAATATGTAACCTATAATTATATATATGTAACCATTAATTGTATAATTGTGATATAATTAATAAATATTTTTAATTA